AATTAATGAAATTTTTATATATAAAATGAATTATTTAAATCAATTGAAAATCATCCTAATATTTATGATTTTTGCAAGAATTTCTATCAAAATTGGCAAATATATTGGTAAATTTCAAAGTGCAAATTTCCAAACATTTTTGCAAACTTTTTTGCCAAAATTGGGATAACTGGTAGAAAAATCACAGGAATTGGTAAAATTATTGGTAAATATTTGGCCAATTTATTATGCCTTAAGCCAAATTAGGATATATATATATAACTACTAGTTTATACATTTCACATTTGAGACAAATCCATCTCATCTTAAAGGAGTAGATAAATACATCAAGTTAGAAACAGGAGCATTGATATTCAATCCAATAGTGAATACAATAATTTACAGATTTCTATTGAGATCCCTAAGGAAATCATAAGAAGATATATTAAATTGCCCAATAAAAACAGAAGGAACAGCATTGATGGAATCAGCAACTAAAGTAAAAAAATATTTTGGAAAGGACAGTAAGTTATTAACATGAAGTTAATAAATGTAATTGAATGGATTTCTTGGCAATCTGCAATTAAATAATCTTAATTTTATTCAAAGATTTTTTTCAAAAAGTCTGAATACACTCTAATTAATCAAAAATAACTGATTGGACAACTATTTCAACCCTCATTTCAAAAGGATCTACTTCAAAGGTGAAATTTTAGAATAATTTAATGTCAGACACTCTATTATCCTTAAAAATCATGACATTAAATAAATACTTATCGTTCTATTATTATTATTATTCCTATTACTATTGTTATTATTATTTAGGTGCAATAAGGCATATTTTTGTAGCGTAATTGCAACTGAAGCATTGCGATAAAAATGAAAATATAACACTCTTAATTACACAGCCATACTCAATAAAGTGAAATGGAAAAATTGAGCAAGTCAACATTTAACGTCGTAGTTCTGAACTATGGATAAAGAAAATGAATTGAGTTTAAAATTGATTCTATTTTCAATCTTATCACTATTCTCAGAGATTGACTATCTTGATTGTAAAGCGACCGATTGAGCTATTGATTCATCCTCATATCTACTTTTGCTTAATCTTATAAGAAGTTGATATAATACAGAGAGACAATTCAAATCAGAAGAACAAATGAGTTAAAGTAGTAAGGAAGTCTTAAATTAGAAATGTTTATGCTTATCGAATTGAATCCTGTACTTCTTAGCATGGTTTCTTTTATTAGTTAAAGTACGTAGAATTAAAGAATAAATTTAACTAAAAGTAATTAATTCCTTAATATCTGCTTGCTTTTCATTTTGTAAGTTCATTCTTCCTTATATTTATAAAAATTTAAGTTAAATTTCCCTTAGATTTTGGAAATTTTCAAATTCACAAATCCGGGGGGGGTACCTACTGCCCGAATATAGTAGGGTCCTCTTACCCTACGGCCGGAATACGAATCTCTATCCGTTTATGGGATGTTAAGACAGGATAATAAAAAGCCAAATTAGATGGTCATTCATATGTCAGTTAATTCAATTTGTTACTCTCTTGATGGTACTACATTAGCATCTGGTAGCGCAGATAACTCTATCCGCTTATGGGATGTTGAGACAGGATAATAAAAAGCCAAATTAGATGGTCATTCAGATTGTGTAAGAACAATTTGTTACTCTCCTGATGGTACTACATTAGCATCTGGTAGTTTAGGTAACTCTATCCGTTTATGGGATGTTAAGACAGGATAATAAAACGCCAAATTAGATGGGCATCCATCAACAGTTTATTCAGTCGATTTCTCCCCTGATGGAAATACATTAGTTTCTGGTAGTTATGATAACTCTATCCGTCTTTGGAATGTACAAACATCAAAGGAAATACTTCAATCAAACAATAGTTATAAAGATTTGCTTGCCTAGTTTAACATTCCACTTTAGAATAGTTCCTTATTGCCAAATGGTATTTATTATTAATTATTATTTAGTTAATCCTTATTGTACTATCCTTAAAATCTGTTAGATTCCTTTGTTAGAAGCATCAGGGACACTTATCCTATAAGGACAGTTCATTAATCATTAAGGGAAAGATTTAAAACCTTTGTTTAAATCCAAAGGAAGTTGCTTTTTAGAAGACTTAAAGCAAAAGTGAATTTGATTATTCATTAAAAACAACAATTACAATTTTAATCATTTTCTTTTAACGTTTTTGTATTGTGTCTATTCTAAACCCTAAAAGGATCTAATTATATTCATCCCTAACAACCATCTAATAATCTTAAATAAGCTCTTTGTGAATCACATCCAAAGCAGTTACTTTCAACAATAATTTTGCATAATTTTTATAAATAATTAATAGTTATTAATCACTCGGATAAGAACTATGTAATCTTATTACAAAATTAATTAATATCTACACAAAAATAATATCGGTCAACCAGTTCAATTTATTAATTCATTATATAATCGATGATGTTAAAAAAAAATAACAAAATCATTCTTCTCTATTACTTTGAGTTTAACCCAATTAGACAATAAATTTTAGAATTAACTAAATTTATTGATATTACATAAATGTATTATTTTCTCTTAAAAAGTTTTAGTG